TGGTTAGCAGTCAAGTGCCTTGGCACTATGCTACCAGAGCTCCCTATAAGCTGAATAGAGAGATTGAAGTTTAGGGATACTGAAGCAGCTAGAATGATTGGGATAGGGTTTTGGAGGGCTTTGTTTTTTACAAACCATCAAGAACCAAAGTTAATAGAAGGGACAACATAAACAGACAATTCAGAGAAATCAGAATTCTGATGGCTCTTACAGATAAGAAAATGATGCACAACCTCACTCAAAATAATGCACATTTAAACTACCTTTCTCCCATCAACTTAGCAAAGATTAGAATGTTGGTAGTTTAAACTATGACAGCCTCTTTGAAAAGCCCAAAATAACACTGCACGAACTGTTTAAGAGGCTCACCCTTATGTGCACAGTCTAAGAGAAGAGTCAGCTGTTCACAGGAGAAAAGGACCTGGGAATCTGCTTCTGTAAAGATGATAGCCTGGGAAACCCTGCAGGACAGTTCTATTCTGTCTTACAGGGCTGCTATGCGTTGGAATCGACAAGATGGCAACAACAGTAACAAAGATTAATACAAATGGAAGCACATCCCATGTGTATTTAATAATACCATAAATATATCAACTATAAATTACCATCTAGCCTCCTACCTTGACAAATGCCTTCCTAATGACAAAATAGAAAACATGAAGTTAGGGTTTTTATATTGACTGAAATTCAGAATATCAAAGTGAGTAAATTTAATTTTTATTGTGATGTCTGGGTATTCTGCCAATGTACCAGTGATATTTGGATGAATAAAGATGTACCGAATTCACTTAAAATTTTCTTGTCTTTAGTCAAATCACTACATTGTTACAACATTATCAACACATAATTTGTGTCCTGACAATCTAAAGATTAAGGAGATGCCTTCAAAGTGAAAAATTTTGTAAGAAATAATAAAAAATGTAAAAAAGTGAAAACTTAAAGTTATTCTTCATGTTTTCCAAAAGTTATTTTCCCTGAAATGTTCAAAATATAAAAATTAAAAAGCAGGGCCCTAATTATAATTAATGATCATAAAATTTTAAAACAATTATTTAAATCTGAAATTTCCACTTGCCTTTTTAGAATTTAATTAAATCTTAAACATACTTACTTGCAATTCTGGCCTTCATTGTCCCTCTAGTTGCCAGTATAAAGAATTGGTAGTATGCCTCACTCATACTACATCAAAATATGTATGTTCAAATTTAAGAGCAATAGGACATTACTATTGCAAAATATTCCTCAACCACTATTTACAACTGTTGTGAGATCATGCTAATTAATGAACCACAAACTGGAACACAAGGAAAAGCAAAAGAGGAAGGGGCTGCTTAACGCTACAGGGAAATAATGCTTGCCAATACAAGAATAAAGGAGCTCTGGTGGTGTGGTGCCTAAGGCATCTGACTGCTAACCCAAAGGCTGGTAGTTCAAACTCACTCACCAGCCACTCCTCTGAAGGTTGGGCAATCTACTTCTGTAGAGATACCACGTAGGAAACCCAAGGAGGGGTCGCTATGAGTCAGACCCAATTCGAAGCCAGTGAGTTTGGTTTTCTTTTTTTAAAAAAATAATAGGGAGCTCTTGTGGCATAGTGGTTAAAGCATTTGGCTGTGATCCAAAAGGTTGGTGGTTTGACCCACCAGCTGCTCCAAGGAAAAAAGATAAGTCTGCTTCGGTAAAGGTTTACAGTCTTGGAAACGCTGAGACAGTTCTACTCTGTCCTATAAGGTAGCTAGGAGTCAGAATTGACTAGGTGGCAATGGCTTTGTGTTTTTTGTTTTGTTTTGTTTTTAATGTAAGAATATTAATGCACTCACATCACACAAGAGGAAGGACTCAAAAGTCAGTCTGTCATTTCTCTTTCCTAACTGCTGTGGGTCAAATCCTCCTAAGCAGTTGTATCTGACTCCAGTGAGTCAGCAGTACCATAAACCAAGTATTTGGATTCAATTACCTTTTGTTTCAAGAACAGGGGAGAAGGTGTGTGAAGAAGTGTTTCCTTGCAGCCGGAATAGTCCTGAAGGACAGAGCTTCTATTACCAGTTACATTGTGCCTGTGCTGAGTGCTGAACAACTGCCAGAGGCACCCATGTGTTTTTTGATAGTTTTATTTCTGTATGGGGTTAGGATCCTCTAAAGCAGGAATTGGCAAACGTTTGGCCTGTGAGCTTACTATATCACCTTGTTGCAGAAGTTTGCCAACCCCTGCTATAAAATACGGGTTCCAGATCAGGCTCTCTTGCCTGGTCAAAGGGGTGGTACTACCCCCTTTGACAAGGCAGTTCTACTCAGAATTTAAAGTGTGCTTACAGAGAAGCATGTACAAGGATATACACACCGCACTGTTAGCCACAAATAAGAGACTCAATTATACACCTAGTTAGTGGACAACTCTGCAGCCAAAGGTAGATGGTGAGGGGTGCTAAAAAGCTCTGTGCTTTGATACAATCTTCAGTATACATTTTTAAGTAGGAAAAGCAAGGTGCAGAGCAGAACCTAACAGCTTCTAGCATTTGGGTTAAAGTGTGTGTGTGAGGGGGGTGGAATCTTGATAGCTGTAATGATATATATGTATAGATTGTTCCCAGATACATACAAGGAAACAGGTGATAATGGGCACTGTGGGGAAGGAGACTGACAGCAGTGGGAGGGAGACCTACTTTAAGCTTACATTTTTTGGGTGCAACTTGAGTCTTACCATGCTCCTGGGTTGATTGTGTCTGATTCCACAAAATACATTAATAAGAAACACACAATGAATGCATTTATCCTTGTTTTGACATCAAGCGATGAGAGAGATGAGAGAGGCTGAGGAGGGATTGAAACTTCGGTCTTGCTTGGAGGCACATCCCAAGTCCCCTCTCCCTGGTTCTTATGAGTGCCAGAGCCTCCACGCAGCCATTGCTCCTTGCTCCCGCCTCCCCATCTCAGCCCCATTGAGGCTAATTTTGCGTCCACCCTGCTCCCAACTGTCCAGCCCCTTCCTTGGACTGCTTCCTCGTCTTCCCTCACTACGTGTTCCTTCCTGTGGCCCCTAACACCCCTGCATATATCGAGGTAGATTATTTCTACATCATTCTATTTTTCTGTTACCTGGGAAAAAGCATTTTTCTCCAAGTGGAGAGACCCATTCTGAATGCTCATTACTTGGACAAGAGCTTGAGCCATCCACAGCCCTGGATCTCCGAGCTAGAACCCCTGCTATAAAATATAATAGGATAATGTCTGCCCTGTCCTACACAGAATTAACTTTAGGACCTCATGAGGTAATATTATGCTAAGTGTGAAAATCTAGATAACCGCAAAAAAACCATAATACAGTAAACGCTTGCCACATCCCACAAGCCCACTTATTAGTGTCTAGACTCACTTCTTTAACTGCCCCAGATGACTATCAGCTGCCCTTAGGACCACCGTGGCCAGAATCACACCAAATGGCCCTACACAGACAAGGGACCAACTTATCAGGCATCTATTCTTATAGTCTGCAAGTTAGAGCCAAGTCTTGAAGCTCTGGGCCCACGGTTAGTGGAGGGAGAGAAGGTGGCCCTATGTAGTTACTTACCACCTGGTCCCCTCCTACCCCCAGTGTTCCTGCCACCTTCTTTGCTTCCTACATCTGCACCTCCACTGATACCACCCATCCCAGGAGAGGCTTGACCAATGGGTTGTAACCACTTAGAAAGCAAACAGCTAAGTTGAGTGGTAGGAGGAAGATGAGCCAGTGGAAGCCTGAGTCCTGGGAGCTCTGATGCAGGACCTCAGCTTCCCTCTGCCAGGCAGCTTGCTTGCATCCCCCAACGTCAGGGCTCACTGGGACTGGGTTGCTGTTCTCCAAACGGCATGTCTGAGGAAAAACAATTACTCCTTTCCCCCAAGCACACAGCTGCCCATGCTAGGGTATAAAGTTTCACATGGAACATTGACACCTTGGCTAGGCACCCTTGGGGGGATGGGAGCCCAACTTGGGACCATCACTACCTTACCCCTTGCCTACTCAGACACCTTTTTCCAAGCAGGTGGCTGCTCCATGGACAGAATCGCACCTGGAGTTGGAGTTGTTAGGGGGCAAATCACCCCTCTCTCTGAGAGGCACAGAGCATTGGAACTGGGAGGGGTTAGCACCCACAGATCTGGTCTAGCCTCTTCATTTTGCAGGTGAGGAAACAGGCCCAGGGGCCTTCAATTTGCTCAACTGGTTTGAGCTGCCTAGTACCCATCCCTGCCCTTTAGTCCAGATCTAAGAGAAAGCCTTAGGACAGTAGCCCCAGCATCTTTCCACAGTGCTCAAGACACAGTTTCATGGGTGTGACTCCTACACAGGAGGGCATACATGCAAGGGAACATGAGGAAGAAGCTGGAGAGGTTTCGGGGATAAGGGGGTATGTGGTAGAAGGTGGGAGGGATGGGCAGACCTTCCAAGAGGCCAGCCTTCCATGAGCACTCTGTATTCCTTTAGGCAAACTTTCAACAACCTTTGCCTGTCAATAGAGCTTCTTCCAGTCCTCCCATACTTCTTGCAATCAATTTGCCCCTGAGAGGACAAAAAGCCTGCCTGGGAAAAAGACGGAAACAGACTAAAGCTAGTTTCCACAGGCTTGCCCTGCAGCCGAGCTGCAGCAGCCAGGAGGACATTCATGCCTGATCCTGCCTCTCAGATCTTCCCCTGAGGGAGACACTGCTGCCGCTGGCTGAGGAATGTGGCGCCTCATCCATGGAGGCCTGCCCAGCCCACACGGGCATTTTTGAGAACAGAAAGCAAACCTGGGCTTCCCAGATGCATCCCACAGGAACATTCTGTGTCCATTTTCTGGGCCCAGGGTTAGTGAGAACACCTCACCCGGAAGGTTCTGGGTTCAGCTGACTTTATTAAGTCCAGAATACAGCGCTTGGCAAGGGACAGCTGTGGTGGTGACGTGGCAACTCTGTTTTGAAGGTGACCTTGCCTGTGCAGTCCAGGTATGGGGTCGCAGAATGGGCCTGTGCCAACTGCCTTCTCACTTAGTGCAAATGGCATTGAGGATTTCCAGGGCCAAGGAAGTCACTGCACTGTCGGCAGACAAACTGCAAGAAAAACCAAAGGAGAAACACTTATCAGACATCTCCAGGGCAAAATGCTCCTCTTTCAAAGGGGTAGGGCCCTGGTGTCATAGTGGTTAAAGCATTTGCCTGCAAACCAAAAAGTCAGCAGTTTAAACCTACCAGCTGCTCCATGGGAAAAAGAGGAAGTATTCTGCTTCTCTGAATATTTATAGCCCTGGAAACAGCAGCCCTACTCTGTCCAAGAGGGTCAAATGGGTAGAAATTGACTTGATGGTGGTGGATTTGGGTTCTGAAAGGTGCCAGCCTCTTTTGCACTTGAATATCTATCTGATGGGAGAGCTCTTTCTACAGCTGAAATGTGAATAATAATCTTACAAAGTTGAAGCAGCAAACTCTGGATCTGAGGAAGTGAGATGAGAGCCCCTCACCCACTCAGTTCCAGTCCCCAAGCTAGACCTGAACTCCTGGTCTTGGCCACCGCGAAATGTCAGAGCCATGTTGGCTAGGAGCACTGGCCCTACTCTACGAGTGCACCAGACCAGTGGCAGCCAGAGCCCAGTATGCTGGCCAGCTCCTCCTGGAGCTGACTTATGTGACCCTCTCAGGCAGACCCCATCTCCTAACCCCTCTGCTTCATATGCTGCTTCCCAGCCACGATGCTGGAAGCACCTCATTCTTTTTTTTTTTTTTTTTTT